TCCAGAGGCCCAGGGAAGTGGGGCCAGGAGGATGGGGTGTCTGCTTTTGACAAGGAGTGAGCAGGTGGCAACACACAAACAGAGGAAGTCTGTGATTAAAGGAATTGACAGGACATAGCCCCAGAGCCACGGGGTGAGAGGGGCCCTGAGTGTGGAGACAAGACCAGGAAATTACTCCTTAGGAAGAGGTGGGGGCAGGGCCAGTTCTGCCTACGTGGGGCTCCGACCACCATTTCCTGGTGAGAACAAATGCCTCTGGGCCACAGGAAACAGCCCGGTGAAGTGTGATGAGTCAGAAGGGGAAGCCGCTTTGTATTCCCTAGAATTCCCTACAGGTGCTGTTTGTTCTCATTCTCCTTCCAGGTGTTCACTTTGGAAGCTGTAACAGGTGGTAAGGCAGGTGCGACAGATACAGGAGAGCAAATGGATGCCTAGAGCTAGAAAGAATGTTGACTATGGGAGTGGGAGAGGGTAGATGTGGATTCTTGAAACAAACTCAGCTCAAAACCACCACCCACCCTCCCCCTCCCCTCCACACACACTCACCCTGTGGGAAGCAGCCTGGGAGGCATTAGCTGCCTCAGGTCTCATTCAGATCCCTACCAGGCCTTGCCTGACCCTAGGGAAAGCCTGGAACAAGCAAGTATTTTATCAGGAGGGGAGCACCTGTTTTATTCATTCTTTATTCATTCAACCAGTGTTTATTGGATATCTATTGTGTGCCAGGGCCTGTAATAAAAAATGTGATTATAACTGTGGTAAGGACCATAAAAGAGATGTACAGAGTGCCAGAAGGGCCTATAATCGGGATGTATAAGATATATAATCAGTTCTATAAGGGCCTATCATTAGGATAACAGAACTGATAAAACTGAGGAAGAGTTGATAATGAAGCTGATTTCCCAAGGATGAGTGGATATAAATTATATGAACAGGAGTAACCTAGGTGAAAGGGGTGGTCTGTGCAAAGACCCCGCAAAGAGAGAATCGCTTGCGTATTGCATAACAAGTTACTCTAAAACTTAGTGGCTAAAAGCAACCCACAATTCTGTGGGCGAGAAACCTGGCTGGGTTCAGCCAGGGAGTTCCAACAACCAGGTAACGTTGTGGCTGAAGCTGGCAGAGGTGCTCTTGTGCGTCTGTGTGGACGGGCTGTCCACTGGCTGGGGCTCCTTGGTTCTTCCCCTCTCGGTCTGTCTGTTCTCTCTAGCAAGCTACCCTGGCTTCCTTCCCGTGGCAGTGCAAGGCAGCCAAAAAGGACACGCTCTGGAGCTCGGGTACTTTTCACGTCTCAGCATCCATCCCATTTGCTGTTGTCCCATTACCCAAAGCAAGACACAGAGCTAAGCCCAGAGTCAAGTGTGAACAAACTGGGGACTGGAACTGCAATAATTTACCTCTGTGAGTTCAAGGAATTGAAAGAAAGTGGGGAAACCAGAGAGTGAGGAGCAAAGAGGAGCGTGGCACAGGAAAAACCAGAGGTGGGTGGCAGCCAGGACATGCCAGGCCTCCAACAGCACAGAGAGTTGGGTCTTTGTCCTAAAAGTAGGCAAGCCCTCTGGTCTCCGATCCTCTGTCTGGTGGGTTTGGTCAGTCTAAATAAATCCCTTGAAGGCTGAACTGCCTTGGGTGAACTAGTAAAATGGATTTTCTAAGCTTCAGAATGGGGGTGGGGGGAGGCAGGATGTGGGGCATGGTCCGCCCCACACATCCCTGCCCACAGCCCACACAGATGTAAATGCCCATTCCTTCCCACCCCTGTGCCCTAGCACCTCCTCGTCCCTCAGCTGGGAACAATCTTCTCACACCCTACCTAGGGCCAGCTCCTACCACTCAAGACTCAATGCAGGCACCACCACCTCAGAGAAACCCTCCCTGACGTCTGTAAGGCCCAAGACAAGGAACACGTCAAATGACACCATGAGGCCTAGGGAATAAGCCTGGGACTTAATTATAGTGGCCTTGTAGTTTCTAAAACCAGGTTGGCGTGTGGCCAGCCCTGTCTATGTGGCACACACCTGTGGGCACAGTGCTTTGCCCACGCTGTAACCTTTTTATGTTTACCACCCACTAGACTACCTTTCTTTAAGGAGTGCCCATAACCTCAGGGGCCACACATAGAAAAGTCAGAAACACTTGAGTGAGTGAATGAATGAATGAATGATTCCATCACTAAACAGGACTTTTCTTCTGAAAGCCCCAGCCAGTGTTATGAAAGTCTTCGGTCGTGGCAGTTGAGGGGAGGGTGTCTTTCCAAGTAGGCCAGTGTCTCCCAGTTCCAACTAAGCCACCCACCCAGAGGAGAAAGCCCCCTGGCTCTGTAGCAATCCAAGGCAGGGCTGTATGAGAGTGAGAGGGGGGGGTGCTCCTCGGAGACCAAGTGCCCAACATCATTTACTGTAACAGGGAGAGAGCCAACCTGAGGTGGCATCCACTGGAGCAGGTCTTCCCTGGGTGCTGGGACAGCTGACCACGGGCATGTGGGAGGCACTGGTGCCAGGAAGCCCACATACAGGATGACTCACTCGCCACAAGCTGGAGAGGCAACCTCTGTGAACCAGGGTGAGAAGTGGGCCCCAAAAGCTCCAGTCTTAACAGAGGTGTTTCCATACCAGCTTCCTAGTCTTGAAACAGGAGGCTTTAAATCATACTCTCCTTTTTACAGAAAAGACACCTGAAGCCCAGAGAGATAAGCCTTTGACCCATTGGCCACTTTAAGTGAAGACCTCTCAGATAAAGACTACATTTCCCACCTTTCTTTGCAGCTAAGTGTGTCATGACTGGAACTAATGTCTATAACTTCGGAGTTTTACTCACAAAGGACAGAGGTGTGCCTCGTTTTTCTCCTTTCCGCTGCCTAGTGAGCCATCTTGGACCACAGAGCCAAGAGCAACACCTTAGAACAATGGAGCAGCAGTAACATGGCAAGAACCGGGGTCCCTTCTATCTGGGAGCCACCATATCAACCCTGACCAGCTTATGCCACATGCAGTGCTCAGTGAGAATGAAACAGCCCATCTTGAGTAAGCTCTAAGGCAGTGGTTCTCAACCTTCCTAATGCCACAACCCTTTAATGCAGTTCCTCATGTTGTGGTGACCCCCAATTTCATTGTTACAAATTGAACATAAAGCATAGTGATTAATCACAAAAACAATTTGTAATTATATATGTGTTTTCCGATGGTCTTAGGCGACCCCTGTGAAAGGGTCGTTTGACCCCCAAAGGGGTCGCGACCCACAGGTTGAGAACCACTGCTCTAAGGTATTTGCTGTGGCGGCTGAATGGATACCCTCCTGACTCATATAACATAGGCCAGGACCAGGTTTCCTCAGGAAGCCCTGGACCACTGGAGCTGCCTAATTCCAGTCACTCTTATTGTTCCAGGACAACAGAGCGGTGGCCCCCACCCCAGGAACCAGCTGTTTTCTTGGAATAAGAGGGAAGCTGCTAGATTGCTAAGGATGGGAAGGGAAATAAGCACGTTTGATGTTCCACCTGTGTAGACAGACACCTGCACTAGTTGTTAAAATACTGAAATACTTCCAGGCCAGGTGATAAGCAGCCACTGCCCTGACCCAACCCATCCCTCAAATGTCCCCCTCCCCAGCTATCTTGGCCCCAGACCCAGCAATTGAAAGAGTGATGGGTGGCATAGGAAGGGGTGGCCAGGACCTCTTCCTGACCTCTGGGCATGGCCCTTGTTAAATGTTTTGAATATCACCCCTGGCTATAAGGTGCCTGGTCTCAACTGACTGAATGGAAATGAACCCTGAACTCAATGTGGAGGGTGAAGAAGACGACATGAGTTCTGAAAGCCAGAGACTGGTCACTGAATCCCCGCCTCCAACTCCTTCTCTCCTCCCCAAAGCCAGAAGCACCTAGTCCCCACCCAGGCCAGCCCTCACCCACGCAGAATGCCCACAGTCACGCCCAGATATTATTGCACTCTTTTATTTACAGAAAACACAGATAAAGCATTTCAATGTTCATTTAGCAAACTGATCCACTCTTTGTTTTTTCTTTTTGGCACAAAGAAATATCACAGATGGACCCCAAGATCAATCAGAAACCCATAAGATTTATCAGCCATCACTGGTCCAGGGGCAGCCACAAGACTCAGACAGACAGACAGACAGCATCGCCACAGTCTGGAAAAAATAAACAAGGTCCACATTCACCTCACAGTAAAAACCTGCTCACCGACAGGCAAGGGTGGGCAGGAGGGGGCAGTTTCTATGCTCCAAAGGGGGCAGTGGGCATTGGGGGCAGGAAGCAGGATGAGGAGGGACAGACACCATTCATAACTTAGAGACCGGTGGTCTTTTTGTTATTAACCTCTTACCTTGTAGAAGTAACAGTGCAAAAACTACCATGCCCTGACCACTCGTCCATTCAAAAGTTTCAGGAGTTGTGTGGTTTGGGGTGTCTCTCCTGGTGGGCGCCTGTGTGTATGTGTGCACATATGTGAATGTGTGAGTGTGGTGCTTGTAAACATTGCCACCATCCACACAGAGACCCAACATCCGTGTGTCTGAATGGGATGGGGTGGGGTGGGGTGGGAT